TGAATCCTATCTTAAGAACTGATTCATAGAATCATAGAGTTGGAAGAGACCACAAGGACCATCCCGTCCAAGCCCCTGCCATGCAGGAACTCAAAATCAAACCATCACAGACAGATGGCCATCCAGCCTCTGTTAAAAACTTCCAAAAAAGGATACACCACCACTCTCAGAGGGAGTGTGTTCCAGTATTGAACAGCTCTCACTGTCAGGAAGTTCCTCCTAATGTTGAGCTGGAATCTCTTTTACTGTAGCTTGAGTCCATTGTTCCAGGTCCTGTTCTCTGGAGCAGCAGATAACAAGCTTGCTCCCTCCTCAATATGAGATCCCTTGAAATATTGAAACAGGGCTATCATTTTCCCTCTTAGCCATCTCTTCTCCAGGCTAAACATACCCAGTTCCCTAAGTCGTTCCAACTGATTCAGCAGTTGACAGCTCCTTTAATGTTTGGACTAAAATCCAGAGTGGATGAATCACCCTCATGGACATTTGGGTCCCTTCATACAATGTTTTGGGTCCCTTCATATTATGAGAGTGTTATGATTTCACTTTAATTACTGTGGTTCCATGTCCTATGATATCCTGGGATTTGCAGTTTGGAGAAGAGTATTTAGAATTAGTCAAAGAGCAGTAGTGCCTCACCAAACTACAATCCCCAGGATTTTGTAGGATGCACCCAAGGCAACTGAAGTGGAATCGTGGTGCTATAATTGTGTGCTATGTGTGTTAGATAATCCTTGAATACCAATTTCACTTTCTATGACAATGCAAGTCTATATTAGGCAATATGGTGGGTCCTCCACATTCACTAGGGTTAGGGACACAGGACCTCCATGTAAGTGGAGAAACCACAAATTTTTTTTTAAAAAAACACTCTTTTTTTAACCTAAGAAATAGCTCTCTAGGAATTTATAGATCCTCCAGAGCAACTCTATGGTCAACATCTGCTGGAAGTTGACCACAGAATTGGGCTGGAGAACATACAACTCTAGGTCTCCCAGTACAACTTCTGGTGAAACTTGGCCACAGAGTCACGCTAGTTGACCTAGAGATTCCCAAAGAGAACATATTAAACAAATCCACAAATAATCAAATCCGCAAAGGTCAAAGCCAGAAATGTGGACTGTACTTCATCCTAAATATTATTGGATGTTGTAATCCAGAATTCGTCACAATTGGCTCAACAGGCTAGAGCTGCTGGGAGATGTAGTCCACCCTCCTCTGGAGGATGACTTCATTCTCAAAGTTTCTACAAGAGGATTGAAAGTATTAGGAAAAAGTTCTCTCCTGGAGCTTAGGCTTCAGGAGAAATAAACATCTCCTCCATTAGATCAAATGATCCTTCATCAAATACTTTCAGATAGGTTTTTACCTTAAAGCTTCCCTGGGCTAAATCTGAAAATCCTCCTTTAAAAAAAACCTCCTTCTTGAACTACATCCGATAAAATAGATTCAGTCTCCAGTCCTCTTAATAAGCTGGTAAATTTGCCAAAGTTGCTTCTGCCCTGGAGTGTGTTAGCATTTCTGAAACACTGCTTTTTGACAATCAATTAGAAGAAGCATTTTGCTGATGATTCTGTATGGCGCTTGGTGTTTATTATCCAGCAGTATCTGTCAGCAGTGGACACAAGTTTCCTATGAAATTTACTTAGAAATGAATCGCGTTTTTAAAAACATTATTTTTATTAGGGTTCTATACTACAAAAGAAAAATACACAAAGAAACCACATACTGCACAAAATATATTAAGAAAAAGAATATGTAGGAAGCAGGGGGAAGAAATGAAGAATAGAAGGAAGGAAAAAAAGAAAGAAAAAAAAGGAGACAGGATAGAGAAATAAAAATGATTTCCAATCCCATCCAAATCTGCTATAACTAAATTCTTCCTTTAGCATCACTACAAACAAAAGGACACTTCTTTTTGTAATCTATCACTACATTAATATGCATGTATGCATGTGTGTGTGTGTGTATTCCTTAATTAGTTAATTAATATTAACTATTACCAGCAGATAGATATTGGAGCTAATCTTTTATTAACTTTTTGCACTCAGCAAATGTGCCCTCGTGCTTTTAATTAGTAGCCTCCTTCCTGTGCTTTTAATTAGTAGCTTCCTTCCTGTGCTTTTTGCCCTTGTAATTACAGTTGGCCCTCCACTTTTGCAGATTTGATCATTCACGGATTTGCTTAATATGTTCTCTCTAGGAATCTCTCAGCGTAACTCTGCTGGAAGTTGACCATAGAGGAGTTGTTGCTGTTATATTTATATTTATTTGTATCCTGCTTTCCCCCCAAAATTGGGACTCAATGTGGCTTGCAGTCTAAAAGCACAGTACTGTACAATTAAAAACTTAGAAAATTACAACTAAGTCATACCGGAGGACCTAGAGATTCCTAGAGAAAATGCTTCTCTTGGCATTTGTAGGTCCGACAGTGCAATTCAACACCTTCTCTGTTGTGGTACCCAAATTTCAAAATACTCTCTTCTACAATCAACACCAATGCTGCTTTCATTCTGAAGCCAAGCAAAACCATGGTGATTTAGGTGACTATCACTTGGCGTTTTAAATCGAATTAAGCCTCCCAGGCTGCAAACTGAAGGTGGGATGAAGGCGGGGGGTTATCACATGCTAAATTGCCACCCAATCACAAAGTGTTCCGGTTTCTAAAAAGCGCCAGCTGAGCCCGGCTTGGACCCTGGCTAATGGCGGCCGGTGATTCGGTGGCAATTTAGCATGTAATAATCCCTGCCTCCATCCCACCTCCAGTCTGCAGCCCAGGAGGCCTAATTCGATTTAAAACACCAAGTGATAAGCGCCTTACTCAAGCTTTGGGGACATGTTTGAGTTTGTCCAAATGTGCACATGGGTGGTCTTAGATGGCTTGAACTATTTCTATCCTGTTCTGCGTTAAGTGTTAAATGGTTTAACAAATGTTTTAAAGTATCTTTACAGAAAAAGCAAACCCTTCCAACTGTCCTGATTTAGCACAGACAGTCCCAATTAATCCTCTCTTGCCCTGCTTTTAAGATGTCCCAGCTTCTCTCTCCTCCTCCTACTTCCTCCCTTCATCCTCAGCTTAGTTCAATTGCTATGAACTGAGTTGAAAAGTAGTTTTCACTCAATTACTCAGCAGGAAGGAGAGGAGAGGAAGGAAGCAGAATCTTGCCCTTCCCCGTAGATTCAAGCAAAAGCAAAATACTGCTTTCTATACCTGCCCAACCTTCTCTTTTCTGCCTTGTTACCTAAATTTCAGGGGGTCCCAACAGGGCACCCACAAATTATATTCAGTGGGGAAATTTTGTAGCAAGTGGTCCAGGGTAACTTTTGTTTGGGAGCTTTGTATAACAGTTCCAATCCCAGAGAACTCCAAAGTCAGATTCCAAATTAATGTATTTTATTTATACAAAAAGAATCAACATGTACGTAAACACTCTTCTCACGCACACACAAAGAACTAATAAAGCAAAGATATTAGTAGATAGCAAATTGCAGGGTTGCTAAGGGATAATACTGTACAGATTGTGAAGTGTGGCTCCAAACTTGGGGATACTGGGATGAGGATGGCTCAACAGCTGCCTACGGAATGTAGGGTGGCCAACTGCTGAGATGCTGAGTCAAAATTGAACAGAGTTTCCGCTCTGTTTCAGACTAGACCAATTTGCTAGTGCCTAGGCACTCATATTTGTACCCAGAAATTAGTCCTAAGTGCAGTATTTCAGGAGCTGATGGACTTAAGCAACTTTCCCAGGGGAGAAGAATGGGGTGTGATATGCAAGAATGACCAGGCAATCAGCTTGAATGTTCTCATACTAAAAGAGTTTCATTCTCAGAAGGAAACTCTTTTTTCTGCCATATGCATGCAATCTTCCAGTCCACTACCACCTTCCCATAAAGAAGGGATTATGCTGATTCTGGTCTTGAGAGATCTCATCATGGCTAAGTGCCTTGGGCTTCTCCCATGCTGAGCCATCCGGATCAACCTGGTATTGCTGGTTTCCTGTGCTGGGAGTTTATTACACTCAATTTTCTTAACGACTCAGGCACTGGCTGGGGATGCGTGTGACCAAGGGAAAATGGATTTTATCACATTCAAAAACAATTGGTAAGCTGTCCCCATGCCATCGCTCAACCACAACCCATCCTCGAGCCACGCTGAGGCATGCTGAGCTGGCTGATTTTGCTCAGCTGGAAAGCTTCCATCCTTGCAAAATCAGCTGGATCAGCACAGCTTAGGGATGTGGTCGAGTGATGGCATGGGGACAGCTTGCCAACTGTTTTGAGTGTGATAAAATCTGTTTTCCCTTGTTCACACACATCCGCAGGCAGTGTGCGGATCGTTAACAAAAGTGAGTGCGATAAATTCCCTGGGGAGCCCACATTTGGATTACTTGTCTAAGACATCCCTTTTTTGATATTAACTTGATACCAAAGGTCATAGAGGAGTGACTAAGAGCTGGATTTTGAGCTACATCCTCATCCACTGCCTAGCTGGAAGGTTTTTAGCAGCATTGGCTTTAAGAGGATGATGAAGGAAGGCTGGTGAAAAACAGCCCTGGTGTAAGGTTGGAGCAGCCTGTCTGCAGTAAGCAATGCCATAAAGCTTGAGCTGGGAAATTGTGGGATTCCACTCTAGCTGATCCTATTGTATTTGTGTGTGCCAGAGCTCTCAACAACAAGCAAGGTAAACAATAGCTGCCTTCTTACTGAGCATGAATGAACAACAAAACAAAAGGAAAGGGGGGAAACTGATAGGCCTGCTTCACAACTCCCCCCTCCCAACATGTTATAGATCTATATGTTTGGCTACCAAAATGTTGTTGTTGTTGTTGTATGCCTTCAAGTCATTTCTTGCTTACAGTGACCCTAAGGCAAACCTATTATGGGTTGTTTTTGTTTTGTTTTGTTTTGTTTTTTACATGTTTCTTCAGAGGAGGTTTGCCATTGCTATCCTCTGAGGTGAGAGAGTGTGCCTTATCCAAGGTCACCCTTGTGGGTTTCCATGACTGAGCAGGGAATCGAACCCTGGTCTCCAGAGTCACAGCCCAATGCTCAAACCACTACACCACATTGGCTCTCTTGAATGCATCTACACTGTAGGGATAATGCTGTTTGACACCACTTTTAGTGCTATAGCTATATCCTGTGGAATCCTGGAATGTGCAGTTTTGCAAGATCTTTAGCCTTTTCTGCCACAGAGTGCTGATGCCTCACCACATTACAGATCCCAGGATTCTGTAGGATGGGGCAGTTAAACTGGTGTCAAAACTATATTATTGCCCCAGTGTAGATGTGCCCATAGAAAAATTGAGGTGGGGAAAGTAGTAGTCATTCCTGGATGAATTTTGGAAAAAGCTTTCCAGTGGTTCTTAGAAGGTTCAAAAATGTGTATGGACGTTATCACACGGGGCAAATCTGCTGGTTGATTCACACAAATCCCAAACAGAAACTGGATTTGTGCCTCATGTTTTCACACGACGTCGCACAGAAACTGGACAGAAAGTGTACAGAAACTTGTGTTAACCGAGATCTTTTGAAATTCGGTTGTTTGGAGGAAATGCAAATGCAAAATTAAGGTAATTTCGCATTTACTGTAATGTGAAAAGCAAATGCGCATTTGGGAGCATTTCCCGGCTTTTTCTCATGTTTCCACGGTGAGCATTCCTCTATCTGCGCATGTGCAAGAAGCTCATTTCTAGTACATTTACGGGCTTTTCTCACTTGTGAGTGAACGTTAAATGCGCTTACTGTAATTTCGCAATTAAGGTAATTACGTGTGAAAGCCATTTGCGGAATCAAGGTTTATTTTCGGTTTATTTTCAGAATGCCTCATTTCCACTTTATTATCGCTTTCTGGCCCACGTGTGATAACGTCCATTGTTTGCTTATGTACAAATTAACTGGCTGAGCTATTTCATTTCAGATGTTGCTAGTTTTAAATAAGTTTGCTGAACATGATAACTGCTCTTCTTTTTTTCTGTGAGGGCAGGAACCTTATCCCTATTCTAACAGTGATATTTCTGCCTTTGGTACCAAATCTTCTGTTAAAGAATTAAAGCTGAGGAACACAACTGCTTCACTAAGGGCCTCAGCAGACGGAGGCCCTGGAGCCGCCGCCGGACGGAGCGCCGCGGGGATGCAGCCTCCGCATCCCGGCGCTCCTGCGGCGGCTCTGGAAGGAGCGCTAAATCAGCGCTCCTTCCTCAAGACAGGGAAAGTGCGCCCTAAAAGCGGCGGGCGCACTTTCCCTGTCTTTCCCTCCGCAGCGCGTCCGGTTGCTGCGGAGGGAGGTTGCCTTGGAAGCGCCGGCCGTGCGGAGGGCCGGCAGCTTCCAGGGCGACCTCAGGAAGAGGAAGGGGCGCCGCTCGTGCGGCTGCCCCTCCTCTTCGGGGCCTCCAAGATGACTCTATTAGTCGTCTGCCGAGGCCCTAACTGAGATGTACCTATATCTTTACAAATGAAGGGTGAAGGGTCTGGAAACCAAGCCCTATGGGGAACGCCTTAGGGAGCTGGGGATGTTTAGCCTGGAGAAGAGAAGATTAAGAGGTGATATGATAGCTGTGTTTAAATATTTGAAGGGATGTCATATCGAGGAGGGAACAAGCTTGTTTTCTGCTGCTCCAGAGACTAGGACCCAAAACAATGGGTGCAAGCTCCAGTAAAAGAGATTCCACCTCAGCATTAGGAGGAACTTCCTGACAGTAAGGGCTGTTCGACTGTGGAACACTCTCCCTCGGAGAGTAGTGGAGTCTCCTTCCTTGGAGGTCTTTAAGCAGAGGCTGGATGGCCATCTGTTGGGGATGCTTTGATTGGGAGTTCCTGCATGGCAGGGGTTGGACTGGATGGCCCTTGTGGTCTCTTCCAACTCTATGATTCTATGATTCTATGAAATCTGCAGTACAGGACTATGACAGGTCCACTGCACCTGTATGCTAACATTGTTTAAAAAATTATAAATTCATCATCTTTTAGGTCATAAAAATGAGAGGAAAATGTAGCAATGTAGCAGACTGAGAAAAGTGTTATCTGGGGGTATTTTGCAAAAATTTAGGAAGGATCCCTAAATTCCAGAATAATCAGGAACATGGGCAGCAAACTTTAACTGCTTTCCACCTCTACCTTTACTATCTAACCAAGCCCCATTAAATCTTTGGCTTAATCACATTTATTACACCGAGTTAGGAGTGGTTTGAGATCCTGAAGAATAGCAGCATCATTTTCTTTTATACATGTAATAATATAAAGATGGTGGGTTTTTTTGAATAGCATTAACATTAAATTGTAAAATGTGAAAACATCAAAGGGAGAAACTACAGTGGGAAAGAAAAGCAAAAACAACAACAAGAACTCACTCCTTGGAAAATACAGAAGGAAGATGTCAAGGACTTGCAGTTCTATTCATACAGATAACACGGCTGCATCATTTTCTGAAATTTTCAATTGAAATGTTAATACAGACTTCTTGGTATCAGACAGAGGCTTTTTAAAATGACTTTTTAAAAAAAAAACACAGAAGGCAAATTGGTCTTCTCACAGATACATTCCTCATGTTAGGACTTGAGGTTAAAGGAGTGGTAGCTAATAGCCTAGAGGACAGGATCAGAATTCAAAAAGATCTTAACAGATTAGAGAGTTGGGCCAAAACTAACAAAATGAATTTCAACAGCGAGAAATGTAGGATACTATATTTAGGCAGAAAAAAAGGAAAGGCTCAGATAAGGATGGGAGATGTCTGGCTTGACAACAGTAGATGTCTATTAAGGGATCTAGAAGTCTTAGTGGATCACAGGCTGAACACGAGTCAACAGTGTGACGCAGTAGCTAAAAAAGCCAATATGATCCTAGGTTGCATCAATAGGAGTATAATGTCTAGATCAGGGATCCACAAACTATGGCCCGTGGGCTGGACCGGCTTGTCGAGGCCTTCCTACCGGCCCGTGGCCGGTTCTGCCGACGCCTCCACCGCCGCCACTCCTGCCCACGCTGGATGCCATTTTGTCTTCCAAAATGGTGCCCGAGTAGTGCGCATGTGTGTGGTGTCATGTGTGCATGTGCCCACTGCTGGACACCATTTTGTGTTCCAAAATGGCATCCAGAGTTGTGCGCACCTCTGGCCCACCGGAACATCTGGGGGCCAGCGAACTGGCCCCTGGATCAAAAAGTCTGGGGACCCCTGGTCTAGATCGTGGAAAGTAATACTGTGGTCAGGCCTCACCTGGAATCCTGTGTCCATTTCTGGGCACCACAATTCAAGAAGGATGTAGACAAGCTGGAACTGTGTCCAGTAGAGGGTGACCAAAATGGTGAAAGATCTTGAAATCATCCTTGTAAAGGTTGGCTTAGGGAGCTGGGTAGTTTTTATTGATTTGATTTGATTTGATTTCTATCCCACATTTCTCCTTGGAAGGGATCCAAGGCGGCTCACAAATAAAAATTCTAAAAATATATTACAATAAAACAATTAAAAATATAATCTAAAAACAATATAAAATTACAGAATTAAGGTTTAGCCTGGAGACAGGTCCAGCATTTGTGGTAGTCTATTATTATTATTATTATTATTATTATTATTATTATTATTATTATTATTACATTCAGCTCTTTGTATATGTAAGGGTTCCATTTCAGACACATAATAAATAATGTGGGACCTCAACTCCCATTCTGCCAATGGTGGCACAACACATGTGCAACCTCACTGGCGCAACCAGATGCATGCACTGCCATCAAAGAGAATGGGGCAGGGCCATTCATAGATGCTTCAGTCCATGGATGGTAAGCCTGCAATTGGGAAGGGCCAAGTGCATTACAGTGTTATTATTATTAATACTGTTATTTGACATTCCCTTAACAGTAACTATTACCATTACCCTAAACATTACCCTATTACCATGTATGGATACGAGAGGTGGACAGTAAACAAAGTGGATAGGAAGAAAATCAATTCATTTGAAATGTGGTGCTGGAGAGGATTGCCAAGGATCCTATGGACAATGAAGAGGTCAAAGAAATGGGTGCTAGAACAGATCAAACCAGAAAACTCCCTGGAAGCCAAGATGACTAGACTAAGGCTCTCATGCTTAGGACACATCATGAGAAGGCACGAGTTATTGGAGAAAACAATAATCCTAGGAAAGGTGGAAGGAAGCAGAAAGAGAGGAAGACCACATGCTAGATGGATGGACTCTATGAAAAAAGTAATGGGTATGAATTTGCAGGAACTGAGCAAAGCAGTGGAGGACAGGCAGTCTTGGAGATGTCTCACTACAGGGTTGCCATGGGTTGAGCTCAACTCAAGGATGGAAAAACGAACAAACCTATTTTTGTTACTTTTGAGAAATGGGAAAGTAAAGAATTTTAAATTTGTTACTCCTGGGAGTTTGGGGAACCTAGGAACTTTTAAGTCCATCTATTTAGCAGATGGATAGCTATGTGCATCTGTCACTTCAAGAACAACAGAATCCATACTCTCCAGCTAGCAAAGACCGTCCTGATTAATCCTCTGTTGTCTCACTTTTTCTGTTGCTTTCAAAATGTCCCAGTTTCCATCTCCACCTCCCAATTTCCCCCTTTGTCCTCAGCTCACTTTGTCCTCAGCTCACTCATACATGTGAGCCAAGTCCAAAGTGCAAAAGTAGTTCCTTGCCCTTCCCAGTCAGTTCAGGCAAAAGCAAACTACCGCTGCTTCTCCTAGCTTGTGTGTTCATCATCATTAATAACTTTTGCCACCTTGACCCCACTCTGAAGTTGCTTGGCCACACGTGCCCCAGTTTCCATCTGTGAAATATTGGTGGGTATGCAGAATCTAGTGGCATCTTAAAAATTAACAAACTGGGTTTTGCAGCCCATTGTATCCCATGAGTTAGTTTTGTGTTGAATCCACTTTTTTAAAAAAGTAACTTGCCGAGATCTTGAACCAAGATGTGTGTGTATGTGCCCTCAAGTCGTCTGTTGACATATGGTGAACCCATGAATTTCATAGGGTTTCCTTAGGCAAGGAATACTCAGGTGGTTTTGCCAGTTTCATCCTCTGAAATATTACCTACAGCACCTGGTATCGGTTGACAGTCTCCTG